TTCTGTCTGCTAGTAAATGTCTTATCACAGTATTGACATTTGTATGGTTTTTCTCCAGTGTGAATTCTTTCATGAACAATGTAACTCTCTTTGCGAATGAATCTCTCACCACAATACTGGCATTCATATGGTTTTTCTCCAGTGTGAATTCTTTCATGACAAATGCAACCATGTTTATTAGTAAATCTTCTTATTACAGTACTGACATTTGTATGGTTTCTCTCCAGTGTGACCTCTTTCATGATTAATGGAAGCCTGTTTACTATTAAATGTCTTATTACAGTATTGACATTGGTATGGTTTCTCTCCAGTGTGATTTCTTTCATGATAAATGCAACCGTCTTTTCCAGTAAATGTCTTATCACAATACTGGCATTTGTATGGTTTCTCTCCAGTGTGAATTGTTTCATGACGAGTGCAACTCTTTTTATAACTAAATGACTTATTACAGTACTGACATTTGTATGGTTTCTCTCCAGTGTGAATTCTTTCATGATAAATGCAATTCTGTTTTAGAGTAAATGTCTTATTACAGTACTGGCATTTATATGGCTTCTCTCCTGTGTGAATTCTCTCATGATGTATACAAGTTTGTTTTTTAATAAATGTCTTCTCACAATACTGACATTTGTATGGTCTCTCTCCATTGTGAATTTTTTCATGAGCAATACAATTATGTTCATTAGTAAATATCTCAGGGCAGTGCTTACAAATATAATGTTCGTTCTCTCCAGTAACTGTCTTCAATTCTTGGCACTGGTCTTCATTCATGGTGTTCACGACTTCTTCTTGGATATTTTTTTTTTTTTATGAAAGAGCTTGCCCAATGTCTATATTTTGGCAAGTCTGTCAGCGAGAATCCTGTGCTGAAAAGAACAATATTTCTTGCAAAATCACAATTTCTGCAGCTTGTTAATGTATACTTAAACTATTGTGTATTTTTAAAATACAGTGATACATGTATCTCCGACGACGACCTCTCGGTCTTCGAATAAAGTCCATGCGATCCCAACACCAAATTTATCATAGATGTCGGGTCCGATACCATCTGATAATTTCAGTAATCTATCGAGCCCAACGTTCAAACGATTAGATTTTTGAACAAATAAAGTACTAATACAGTGGACGGTTTTTTGAGAACTCTTTCTAGTAGACTGCTTATCCAGGGCCCGAAGTTGGATATTGTTATTATTTGGAGCGGTGATGGCGTCATTATGCAAGATAGTCTTGAGCTTAAACTCGATAGAAAATAAATAAATAAATAAATAAATAAATAAATAAATAAATAAATAAATAAATAAATATTTATAGAGTAACGAGTTATCATTATCATACGTCTTGACGTCATTACTTAGTGTCCTCTAATTTTGAGACAATATCCAACTTCGGGCCTTGGACAATCTGCAGTAGAGAGGTTCTTCCACTGTCTCTTTTTTCAAAAACGTATATGTTTAGACTTTTAGGAGGGTGGGGCTTTTAAGTCTTCCAATAATTATTGTTTGGAGTGCAAGAACCTGTTTTTAAATATCACTTCAGGTGCAGGAGAAAATTTCAATGCTGTCTGAAAAAGAGGAAATGAAAGGTTTGTAAATAATATGTGGAGTGCAACATTAACCTACATTGTATTAACGTTCGAAATGCCTTATATTTATGCACCTGCTTGTGAGGTCCACTAATGCTTCATATTTAGAGTATTTTCTCACTTATTTTGAGATGAAAGATCAATTCAAATTTCCAAAAAGTTATTACATCTTTTCTTAATTACTGCATGCATGCTTATCGAATATACTGGGTACATGCATTCAATGATAATAGAATTTTATGAAACAAAAATTTGTTTTGAAAGTACCCATGTTTAAATTTGGTAAACATATGTTATAAGTCACAAAATATATGTAACTTTCTCTCTTTTCTATTTATATATATATATATATATATATATATATATATATATATATAAATCACGACTTGTATCTAATGTTATCTATTTTTGTCTTCTCAGAGCTGTTTCCTTGCATAGAGTGCGGTAAGGAATATTACTCAAAGAATGCCTTAAAGAGGCACTCTATGGTACACAGTGGGAAATACCAGTCATGGTGCACAGAATGCAGCGCTGGCTTTGTCTCCAGATACCACCTAGAGGACCACTTGCGAAAGATGCACGACAGCCCAAAACTTGTTTGTTTCATATGCAATAAGAAGATGGCATCGAGGCAGGGGATGCAGAGACACGTGAAATCTCACCATGGGGATAAAGTAGAATGCGACATCTGTCAAAAGTCATTTCCTGAAGGAAGGATACGAGAGCATAAAGTGAGGGCACACTCCAAGCAAAACCAGTGCACCGAGTGCTCGCTTTCGTTTGGCACTCCTAGTTGCTTAAGGTCTCACATGGTTGTACACGAGGGTCAAAGTTTCAAATGTACAGAGTGCGATTTTTCGACCAAACACAAGTACTCACTGAATCGTCATATTCGGACACACAAGGGAGTGGATAAGCATTTGTGCATTAAGTGTGGAAAGAGTTTTCGCAGGAAGGACTATCTAGTTAGTCATGAGAAAATTTGCAATGGATATACTCCGGAACTTTGGGGGGTGGATGATACACATGGAGAGAATAAAACAGAAGTTGATCATGGTAAAAATACAGTCTGTCCTGACGGTGATGGGGTATCACATAAACTGACCAAAAAGGAAAATGAGGATTATCATCCAACAAGGAAGCAACCATATCCTGTTGATCATGGTGAAAATGTAGCCTGCCCTGATAGTGATGAGGTATTACATAATTTGATCGTGATCAAAAAGGAAAATGAGGAACATCCAGCAAGGGAGGAACCATATCCGGTTGCTTTGTTTAAAAATGCCTTTGTGTAAAGTTCAGTGTATTTAAATGTTTTTTAGGTTAAAATGTTTTATATCATGATGTAGCAATTTGAAGGTAAAAGTGCTGTATTTTGGTATGCAATTCCCAATACATAAATAGTTAATATAGTAATAACTGTGGCTTCTGGCCCAGGAACCTTTTTAGTTTGTTTTGAGATTTTTCTGAATGCGCACAGAGGTTTTATACGCCCTGACTACTTGAGTACTAGTATATACCTTTAAAAACCCATATTACTGAAGAAAAATTATTGTCAAGCATAATATTTCCTTTCAGGGGCTCCTTGAAATCAACTATGTTAAAAACAGAAAAATCCGTAACAGAGCTCCCTTTTAACATTCAATGGCTTTTGTCTCATATGTTACACTATATTATGCCCAAGTGATTTTCAAACAACATTGTACCTCACAACTGATATCTTTAGTCAAACTAAATGCGATAAATTACAATACTAAATTACATATCCACTACCTGAAATTATTACACAACTGCAGTGACCCTTCGTAACAACTAAAAACGGCTGTATTTAGGGTATTCAAAATAGTATATTTTTGCCAATCTATGTTCGATTTTCAAAAAAAAATTTTTTTGATTGCTCCGACTAAGTGCCATCTACCAGATTGGACAAAGAGTGGGCACTAGATTGGTTTTGATAATACTTACAGGCAGTGTAACATGCTCAATTTTGAAAGTGTACGTCTGATTGTGAAATAGCCGAGGTGTGTTATTTATTTAGTCTGATTGCATTCAGCAAGAGTTTTTGTGTACTTGGATCGAACCAATTAAGTAGAACAATGGTCTCAGTGGGAACGTGCCCTTCTTGTTGACAACATGACTTAACAACCCCATTCTATAATTATATAATTCAGAAATTTTGTCTCAAACGTGGTACGTGAAAACATGTAAATGTCGGTGTATTAGGTGAAAAACTTTTCAAAATTATCAAGAGGGCCATCATTTAAGTTTGAGGAAATTGAACAGTGTAAAATTTATGCACTGACATTGGAAAATTGTCCTCTGACAAAATTTTCCAGACCAACTTAATATTTAATTTTTTACTGTAATCTCCAGATTCTCTTATTATGTGGAGAGCTTGTCCACCTTGTGAGGGCAGACACAAGGTTAAAAGCAATGGGTGCCCCCCCCTCCCCCCCTTCTAAATATGCCACTCGGTAACCAGTCAGGTTATGATTGATTTGATTGACAATCTAATTGATAAAATTGTGCAAAAATTTGTCTCATTTAACATTCACTTATGTAGTTCTCAATCTGTTCTAGAATATTTAGAGTATTTACAGTTTAAATGTTGTTTTGTAATGGAATGTAACAGTTTGAGAACTGTTTTTGGGAAGTACTTCAGCAGGCCTACCCAACTACCAGACTCGGCACCGAATGATCCAGAATTCACCGGTAGATCAGACCACACTACCCATTTTCAAGGTGTGTATCAGATCGCATTACACAGTATCATACCCTGAACAAATTTTGAGTGGTGATGCAATGCTTTTCAACCCCACTGAGAATCGTCACTATCACACCGCATACTAGGCAAGAGCGGTGTCGCGTCTGATAGTGAGTTAGGTCAATCTAGTTGGATCGATCTAATCTCTGGGAATGGGGTCTATGCTATTAAAACACCAGTTAAGCCAAAATCTGCCAGTGTACTGTTTTTAAAATGTATATTTATTACTTTCTTTTTTCAGAAAATTCAAACAAATACCCCATGCAGCATACATATATATATATATATATATATACTAGAACTGCCATCACTGCTATAACCAACAATGGGGAACATAATTATGCTCCCTAGGTGGCAGTAATGAGCAAGATACACCAAATGCTGAGCCTGCGAGGCAAGACATTAAAACAACAAATTTAAGCCTCAGTGGCCACCAGTGTTATAACTAGAGATTCACCGAACGTACTGTACACTTAAATAAATGTAAAAGCAAATAATGGATTTGTTGAAGTACATATTATTATGACCAGTATTTGCAAATTCTATTCAGTGGATGGAGTCTGTGAGATGATGTACTGGTGTTTTCTTAAAGGTATAATAACTCTTCGTTTCGGCCAAAAAATGAATTTTCCTGGAGTAAACAACAATTTTCCCATACTTACCAATGTTTAATGAATCCATTTTTACATTCAAAGTTAGTCCCTGGTTTTTTTCTAAAAAGTTTGGTTTTTTGTTAAAATCTCTTAAGAGATTTTAACAGAGTATAGCCATCAGTGGAGGTCCCGTGGTCTAAAGACAAGCTCAGATATGAGAATAATGGCTAAAACTGCTGTTTTTGTGGTAAAACAGAATATATTATATTTCTATGAGTTATGCACAAGGTTTTTGTAGTGTAATATAGATCTCATACGAAGAGTTATTATCCCTTTAATAATGCTTTTTCTAACCTAAACAATAAACTGCATACCTCATAGCATACACTAAAAGTGAACTCTATATAAGCTGTACATCAGTACATATTAAGTAGTCATCTGTAAAACAGATTTAAGCTAGATTCTGACGACGACATTTCACATGGTTTTTTCTTCTTTCCAAGAACTATATATATATATACTGGAACGTGTGCATACACTGCACATCATTTAAAGCATTCATTCACAGAATAATTAGAATTTTCTCATTTTTTAACCATGAGTTTCATGTTCGTTGTATGCCAAATCCTTTGTTTTCATATCTCCATGCAATTCAAAATGAATAAATTTTACGGTATCAGCTCAAAACTTCGGACTATAATTTTTTCTCGTATTATCTTTAATGAATGTCAATCTCTCTATGGCATTATGCATACACCTTCCAACGAAATGGCCCGCATAGCAAAATGACAAAACACAGTGCATTTCACCTGTACTTCTGTCAGCCGTTGTTGTTGTAGAAACCAGCAATGGTCGAGCCATTTAATCTGCCGTAATTTATCCAACATTCACCACTCAGGTGTGATAAGAAAAGAAGACGCCCTTTAGCTACCTCAGGTGTACAATGAGTAACAACTAGGGTTCCGACAATTAATAAATACCTAAAATTAATGCACCTGTATTGACTTTCTCTGGACCACAGGCTTAAGTCCATGTCTAAACACAACTTGCATTTTCATTCACCAATTAGAACATAAAGTATTAAAAGCTTCAAGCTCAGTTTGTTATAAAATTCTGAGTAGTGTGTTCTTAGACAGTATTATTTGTTGAATATAAAGATGTTCAGCTGTGGGGAGTATATGAAATAGTTCCTCTTGGTGTTGTACTCATATATGTTATATAAGGATTACAGGTATATTCTAAACACCAATTAAGTCTCAGAGTTTCAATGGATACCAATTTCTAAAATATATCTTCTGCTCTGGGCAGAGTGCATAAAGTTTATATTAGCATCGTGTTTGGCTTTTCTAGATATTTCCTAAATTCGGCCAACCACTGGGCTCCTACTGCACCATCTACAACTCTGTGATCACAGCTCAGCGTCACGCTCATTACGTTAGCAGTTCTGTAGCTGGAAATGGAAACAGTTGCCATTCAATGAAGTTTTCATACCCCATACACATATATTCATTAGAGGAATCCACTGTAAAATTTTTTGATTCAAATAACTGCTTAATCAAGGCAGCATTATCATTAAAAGTTATGTCCAATGACACAATAATTAAATTTTCCAAAAGTGAGACAAATTCTCATTTGATCATAAGGCATTCCATATCCAAGATCACTCAGAAAGTTATGATCAATAAATCCGTTTTTTGAAATTTTAAGTCACTCTCACGTGATAAAGGCTAATGAACTTCAGTTGTGACAGTAAAAAAAAACAAAAAAAAAAATTGTGAGTTTTGTGAAAACGTGGAATTCTATATAGGGTTTATCCATAGTGATTTTCTCTACATGCTTCTGTACAGAATACTGTGTTGTTAAAAAAACCCCTAAAAATTTCAGAGTTCTTTTTCTTTCTATATATTTATTTTACGGTGTTTTTATAAATGACATACCCATTTTCACTGTCGGGGTCGACCACCAGTCTCTTCTCCGAGCCTCCAACAGCCAGTATACAGGCCTGAGGAGGATTGATAATGGCAGAGAAATTCTTGACGCCATACATTCCAAGATTAGAGATTGTGAAAGTGCCACCCTGCAAGAAAAAAAATGAAATATTTCTTATAGAAAGGCGGAGAAATTCTTGACGCCACACATTCAAAGATTGGAGATTGTGAAAGTGCCACCCTACAAGAAAATAACTGAAGTATTTCAAACAGAAAGGTGGAGAAATTTTTGATTTTAAGGAAATAAGTTACTGGACCAAAAGCTCAGCCATCTTGAAAATTAGCTGGCTAGAATGCCTGCCGCTTTGGAAAACTTCTCTGCCCGTTCTAAAAGTTGTCTGCCCCGGGCAGACGGTCCAGCCTTAATATCTAACACTGCTTGTAATAGAAAGCTTATTAACTTAAAATTATTTTCATGACATATAGAGAGGTGAATGTATACAAAACTGTTAGACCTTCACTTATTTTATGACAATAATGTACTCAAACTGTTACAGTAAGACCCCATTCCCAGAGATTAGATCGATCTACTTTAGATCAACCTAACTCCCTGGGGGTTCAGGCTAAATAGCTGTCAGCCGAGCGAGCACGAAAGTTAATTACCCCCTTACAGCTTGTATTAGGCGGGACTGACATTTAAGCCGGATTATCTGACAGTAATCTAGTGAGACTCCCCACGGGGATAGATCAATCTAAAAGCTCTGGGAATATGCCCTAAGAGTACTGTTACCTGAAATTCATGAGGCTGTAGTTTGCCTTCTCTGGCTTTCAAAGCGAGGGCCCCAACATCCAAGCAAATTGATGCCAAACCCTGGAATAGAAAGCCAATAATAATAATAATAATAATAACTGTGAACAGTGTTATGGGCTTCAAAGCTGTTTTCTAATTATAAGTTTAATTCTGAGACACTCGGTATGGAGATAAAGATTTGTGAACTTCATGTCATGGTAAAAATTTGAGGGAGTTCACCTTTTAGTCAATGTTCAACACAATTTGCAAATTTCAATGAACATAACTCCACGACCTGCTATCTTAGCTAAAGCACCAGGTCTTACACTACTTCAACAGCTTGTTGTGTCTACCATGGATGCACCAGTTGAGACTCCATACAATGCATTAGTTGTGACACTTTACAATTGTGTTAGTTGAGAAAATTCACCTTTTTATCAGCATTGAACACAATGGGAGTAATAAGTCCTCCATCTGTTGCCACTGCTACATTAATGTCTACATTGGTATATCTGAAACAATAAATATACACAAAAGTAGTAAACATACACAGTAATCTAGAAAATTAAACTCCTAGGTAATTTGCATTTCTGGGGATAGATTAAATGAAAATTGTAAGCCCCAAAAACGGTCTAAAATTTAACCCATTAAAATGGACTATCAGGCCCGTAGCCAGGGGGGTTTCGGGGGGTTCAAAAGAACCACCCCTTTTGGTGGGAAAAGGTCCACTCTGGGTAAAATTTGATGTAGGTTCATGAAGTTTTTATGGAAAAAGGTCCACTTTTTCAGATAAAGAACCCCCCTTTTAGAAATTGCTGGCTACAGGCCTGACTATGGTATTATCTTGATCTGAAAAGGACTAAATTTTTGCTCTAATATTTAACACAGATTCATAACTCTCACACAAAGTCTCAAGTATATACCCTGATGGCTTAATAAATGCAACAAATCTGTGTCTACTGATTTCTAATGCACTGAGGTGAGCCCAATTTTTGGTCTAAACTATAAGATGACTTACTACCTAATAAATGTCTCTGTTGATTATTATATATAACTGGATTGAACAAAAATTTTGGTCTCAACTTTTAGATGACTTACTGCCTAATATAAGTGTCCATCCAGGAGGAATTGGCCTCAGGGACCTTCTTACACGCCAGAGCAGCGGCCTTGATGACAAAATCATTGACAGATAATTTCACTTCCTCTTTGGAAAGAATATCATTCAACTCCTTTCGAAGTCTGCAAAGAAAACAAATAAGAAAACAGATTTTATCTATAAAATTATCTATTACCAGTATAAATAATATCTAGCTGATATAATCAATTATGCACAGAGCCATACTCCTGTATATTTCTGGTATTTAAAAAAAATCCCACCAATGTATGAATGATCAATTAAGAGGCATGCACAGATTATTTTTCTGCTATATATCCATATTCAGAAGTTTACTCTAAAATAATACCCACAATAAAAACAGTCATATAAATAAACAAAACAAGAAACAAATTACAACAAATACCTCCTTTATTTTACTCATTTTCAAAACTTACCCCAAAATATTATTCATGTTAATATCCACAGACCAATAATAAAGTGGTATGGTATTATCAAAACTTACTCCAAAGTGCCATTCATGATAATATAGTATAATATAGACAAATACTAATGAGGTATGGCATTATCAAAACTTACTCTAAAATATTATCCATGTTAATATCCACAGACAGATAGTAATGCGGTATGGTCTGTTTGGACTGCAGCAATCTCTTGGCTATAACCTGCCTCACATTGGACATGGGGATATCCACGTAAGCTTGTCCAGGAAGAGGCTGTGGAGGCGGAAGAGGGGCCGCCACAGAAGGGGTGTAGTTAAGCACGTCGCTGCCTTGTATACGCCCCTCCGGTCCTGTCCCTGTCACCATCTGGTGGAAAAAAAAATGAATTCTGCTTTTAAGAATGAAAAGTAAAATCATTTTCTGTGGACTGACGGAGCCAGTGAGTTTTGGATGTTTTTAAAGCAAATAATATATTTGTCTGGAATTTTCAACCGTTACACATCAAGAAATCACATATCCGAAACCATGAGCAATATTATAATCTATAGGCCATTTGTGAGTTGAAAGTTTTTAATTTATTGCGAAGAAATGTGCTGTTTCTAAAAAAACTGACGGTTTTGAAGTACTTATGTACAAGCAGAAATACGGAACTTGAAAGCAAGTTAACTTTGTAGATTGTAATTCTCTCAACACTTCAGTCGGCGAATAACTGTAAAGCTAATGTTTCCATTCAATTTATAACCGACATGAAATAAAATTTATTGTTTTGTATTGTATTGTATTGTAGGTAAAGATGGGTACAAGTTCTTACACAAAAAGTATCTATTTGTCTGTTCAAGATCTCCACTTACGCTCAAGTCAATATTCCTCTCTGCAGCCAGAGTCCTAGCCAGAGGTGAAGCCATCACCCTCCCTCCAGCTGGTCTTGATGGGGGTGGGGGTGGGGGAACGGAGCTCGCTGGCTGTGTAGGAGGGGGAGGGGGAGGAGGGGCTACTGGCTGTGGGGGCGGGGGTGGGGGTGG